ATCACACTCCTCGCCTCAAGAACCAGCAATGGCTCCCCATTGCCTCCAGAGTGAAGTCCCAACCCATATCCTGGGTTCAAAGCCATCATGATCACCCCAAACTGCCTTTCTGACCTTATATCCCTCTACTTCCTTCTATGCATCACGAGAGTGCCTGCCAATGCTCCCCGGACAGATCCAGGTGCATTTATATCCCTCTCCCTTTCCCTACTTCCATGATAATTCACATCTGGAAGTTTGGAGTTGGGAGCCCCACTGCTATATCATGGTGAAACCCAACTGGGTGTAGTTTGGTAGACTGTTGACAGAGTAAAGCTCTCTGTATAGAAGGAAAATGGATGGAAATTTTTTTCCATGAAACTTAGAAGCCAGCCAGACAGAAAACTCAAACAGCCCTTGCCAAAAAGTTTATAATTCCCAGCTATGCTGAAGAGATGGTGAAAATAAGTGGATGCTGATTCATCACTTATTTTGGGTTTAGACCCTCTGATGAGTTCCAGGCCAGCTGGGACTCAGTCATGTGGAGAGAAACAGGGTTTTCATTTTGGTGAAGGACTCGCCCCTTTCATTCTTGTGGACATAACTAAAACCACAAATCTACCGTGTTCTAAGAAACATTATTAGTCATGATCTAGTTCAAGATCTATCCAACTAACCAAACACATTCCTTATCTAGACATTCATTCAATGACTGCGGTGCTTAGGGACTGCTATCAGTACATGGACATTCTGTATCATTCAGTTTTCTTTCCCTAATTTTCATCATTTTAATTTTTATTTCCTCTTTGAAATACAGGAGTATATTAAGTATAAAATTAAAGTATGTAAGTTAAGAATAGTAAGGGTTTAGACTCTTAATATATGCCTTCCCATCTTTATGTGGCAAAACAAGAAATATTTCTATTTTGGCCGACATGTAGTTGATACTCAGTAAGTTAAAATTACCATCAAAAGTCAGGGTTAGAAATCATTTTGTGTAGAGGGCCAGGTAGTAAATAGTTTAGTCGTTGTGAGCCAAGAGCCAAAATCGATGATGTCATATAGGCGTTTTATGTAACAAGAGAGAAAACAAATTTCCATGAGATTTTTACTGATGAAAATCAAAACAGAATAATAATTAAGCACAGTTGGGGGTTTTTTGTTTTTGTTTTTGTTTTTGTTTTTTAATAGAGGTCTACTAATGAGAAAAATGGAATTCTTTTTGAGGAGAAGACATTTCACTTAGTTGGAGGGCAAATGTAAAGTTCATACTTAGCTTGTGGGTTATGCAAGAAAAGACAGTGTTTTTGGCTACAGGCAATACTTTATTAACGTCAAATCTAAAGGCCACACGATGTAATAGAAAGAACTTTGGCCTTGGAGTCAGGCTTGGCCCATGACGTCCTAGCTTTGCCTCCTACCAGCTGTGTGTTATTGAGCAAATCACTGAATCTCTCTGAAGCCCAGTATTGCCATCCGTAGGAGTGAAAAGTAAAGATTTCCCTAATAAAGAAATAGCTCCAGAAGGAGAAATAACTCTCAGGGGTTTCTGTAAGGGGCATTAGTAAGGTGTGCAAAGTCCAGAGCACAGTGCTGAATGCAGACATGCCCTAAGGACATGACAGTCACTGTCATCACCATCATAGGGCTTTGAGTATCAGGGGAGGATGTCACAATGGCTCAAAAAATTTGTAGATTGAGAATGTCAAGTTCCCATCTTTAGAGGATGAGAATAATTTATGTGTGATGGTTGAGTACCTGAATAAATGAATGAACATTTAGCAACTCTCTCTGCTCTTGAGGAGTAGGCAGAAAAGAGAAATCTGACCTCCCACGGTCCAGTGCTTCCAGGCACTCTCACCCTCCCCATGAAGTCTTTATCAGAACCAAAGCTAAGGAACAACATGAATTAACATGAACCTTGTCATGGTTCCCGAGCCAGCCAGTGGAAATGTCACTCGTAGTAACAGGCAGATAAAAGAGTCCCAGATGGAAAGAAGACCAGAGGCAGCCAGAGTCTGGTTGCATTAACTACTGAGAGGCCCCCTGGGCTGTTCTCATCTCTGAGCCACTGCTGTTCCTTTGCCACGCCAGAATGCAATCTTTTGGCAGCCCTCCTAGCCCTCAGACAATTCCCTGACTTCAGTCTCCCCACTGTACCCAGCTCAATTCCCATAAAAAACCATGGACTCAAGGGCCAAAGTTTGAATCCCAGCTCTGCTTCTTGGTCGTGCCCCTTAGGCAAGCTATTTCATCTCATTGAGCCTCACTTTCCTTATCTGTAAAATGGGTGCATTCCCTATGTATCTGCGCCACCTACCCGGAGGATTGCTATCAGGATCAAGTAGAAATATGGCTCACTCCTAATCCCTCAACTCTCAGAGAGGCCTCTCCTGCTAAAGTGACCCCTGCTCACTCTTCATTCCCTTCTTCTGTTGTTGTCATAGTACTTACACTCTGTGATTAGCTCATCTGTTTACGTATTTCTTTTCTGCCTCCTCCACTCCAACATACACACAGCTCCATTCTCCCTGAGGGCTACATTATCTGTCTGGATCACTGTGGTATCCCCAGCACCTGGCACAGGGCCTGGAATGTAGTAGGTGCTCAGTAAGCATGGATGAGTCTCTGAAAGGCAAGTGTGCCTGAAAACTCCTGAGACCTGTCCACATAACTGTCTCTGGAGTCCAGCTCTCTGCTGCGCTTAGTCCAAACCTGTCTTTGGGGTACAGACAGGTGCCTCATCCTCTACTGTCTTCAGCACTCATCTGTTGTCTACTAGGTAGGAAGTATGAGGTTGTGGTCAGAAGTCTTCAAATATTCATTGCTCATTGACCATGTGCCAGGCACTGGGTATATATGAAGGCAAGCACAATCAGATGTGGCTCCTGCTCCTAGGGTGCTTCCATCTAGTGTGCAGAGAACACGTATGGAACAACCACACAGAGAAAGGTAAAAAGAGATACTAAGGTGAGGTTGATTGCCCCTGGAGGGGGGTCAGAGACGCTTTCTCAGAACAAAAGATCCTTATGTCTGAGATTCGAAGAATGAAAGGGAGTTAACCAGGCAAGCAGGAGTGGGCGGAATGTACCAGCCATTCTGAATAGCAAGTGCAAAGGTCCTGTGGCAGGGTGGAGCAGTCCTTTGTTCGGCAACTATCAATGGGGAATTTTTATGGGCCAGGCACTGTAGGAGGTCTTGGTTCAGAGCAGTGGCAAAGCAACCTCTCCCTGTCCTCTGCAGCTGATCACTTAGTGGGGGAGACAGACATGAATCAAATGATCACACAAATATCCCAAAATAATGTTAGTTAACATTCACTGAGTCCAGACTGTGTGTCAAGCAGTGTTCTTCAAAGTCCTTTAGGGGCATCTGTGAGGTCAAAATCATGCATGGGTTCCAAATAATTTATGTAGAAAGTTCACCCTGCAGGAGGTGAAGCACTCTTTACATGTGGAATGCATAGTGACTTTCTTCCAAAAAGGACAGTGTGGAAAGAGGGAAAAAAGGATCACTTTCTAGTGCAGAAACCTACAAACACTGCCTCTGCCAGGTGGCCGAGGTCAATATCAGCAATGATAAGTCATAGCAACAGTATGTACACCCTTGATAGGGTATGAGAACAGCAATTTGCCTTCGTGATATTCCTCCCAATGTAGTCACGATAATAACATCAGAAAAATTCTGATCAAGGGACATTCTACAAAATACCTGACCAGCACTCCTCAAAACTGCGGAGGTTGCCAGGAACCAGGAAAGTCTGAGAAACTGTCACACAGCTAAGATAGTCACGATAATAACATCAGAAAAATTCTGATCAAGGGACATTCTACAAAATACCTGACCAGTACTCCTCAAAACTGCGGAGGTTGCCAGGAACCAGGAAAGTCTGAGAAACTGTCACACAGCTAAGATGAGCGTAAGGTGACAGATGACTCAAGGCAATGTGGTGTCCTGGATGGGATCCTAGAATAGAAAAAGGACAGTAGGTAAAGTCTAAGAACATCTGAATAAAGTTTGGACTGTAGTTAATGTTAATTTATCAATATCGGTTATTAATGTGACAAATATACCATATTAATGTAAGATGTTAAAAACAGAGGAAACTGAGTGTGGGGTAAATGGGAATTCTTGGTACAATTTTTGCAATTTTTCTGTAAATCTAGAACTATTCAAAAGTCAAAAGCTTATTAAAAAATAATTACACATGAGTAAAAGATCCATTCCAAGTGCAAGGTGGGCCAGCAGGTTTTAATACAGCCAAGTAGGAAAGGTTCATCGATGTGTTTTCAGATTCCACATTGCAGCTAACTTTAAGAAATTGCCACTTGTCAAATTTTGATGTAGTGTCAAAGAACATGGTCATCTGGAAAGGCTTCTCCAGAAGTCTTCTCCCTTCCTCTTCCAACTTTATATCATTGTGAGGCCAGATTTTCTTCATATATTTCACCCAAAACAACATAATGCAAAAAATGAAATGCAGAAGCAGCCGTGAGAATCCAGTTGTCTTAAGTGAGTCATTAAAGAGATTTGCAAAATGTAAAACAATGTATTAAATTTTTCTTCTCACTAAATTTGTTTTGGAAAATATAGTTATTTTTAGTAGCAAAATATTTATTAGCATGTTATAGGCTTATTACTGTCATTTTTAAATGAAATAATAAATCAATATTTAAGTTTTTCTCAGTTTTAATTTCTCTTATGATAAATATCAATAGCTATTACCCATATTTTAAAAAAAACTCTGTGGGGGTCTCAATCATTTCCCAGAGGGGTTCTGAGACCAAACAATTTGAGAATCACTGTGCTAAATAAATAACTTTATTTAGTCCTTACAAACAACCTACTAGGTGGGCAATAGTACTATCCCACTTTGCAGATGACCAAACTGAGGAACAGAGAGGTATATAGTAACTTGCCCAAGGTCACCCAGGAAGTAGAGAGGCCGGAGCTGGGATTCGAACCCATGTCACTACGCTCTTTTCACTACCGTGTATCCTTGGTCTTCCCCACCCTTCCAGGTCTGTGAACTCTGCAAGGGAGTGGCCCCTGCCGACAGCCCCGTGGTCTACGCGGACAGGGCAGGCTACAGCAAGCAGTGGCATCCCACCTGCTTCGTGTGTGTCAAGTGCTCCGAGCCGCTGGTGGACCTCATCTACTTCTGGAAGGACGGCGCGCCCTGGTGTGGCCGCCATTACTGCGAGAGCGTGCGGCCCCGCTGCTCCGGCTGCGACGAGGTGAGGGCCAGAGGGGCTGGATGGGGAGGGGCACCCCCACCGCTGTGGGAAGAACCCAGAGACCGGCGGGAGTGTGCCTTTGTCGATATGTGTTCTACAGACAGGGAACCTGAAGCCAGGCTCTCAGCTTCCACGTTCTCATCCGCAAAATGGGGCTGATACTAGTTCCCAGCCATGGGGTTGTTGGGATGGGTCAGACACAGAGTGCTGTCGAAGCTGGTCCTTAGCACAACGCCTGGCACTTAGTAAGTGCTCAGGAGAACATTATAGGGGTGCACCAGGGGGCAGATTGCCAGCACTCAAACGTGGCTCTGCATCTGTCATCATGGGGTTACCTACACCTGTGCCTCAGTTTTATCACTTATGAAATGGGAATCGGAACAGTACTCATCCCATGGAGTTGCTATAAGGATAAATGAGATAATGCATGAAAATGCTTGGCCCGGGGCCTGACCTAGTAACTAATAATGGTAGCTGCTGTTCGTTTTATGATGATGTAATAGGATGTAATATAACAATATAACACAATCCAATACTATATAATAGTTAGACATGCTATGAAAGGGGTTTGAGCATCTGTCTGATATGGGTTTAGAAGTGAGCAACTCTAAGGTATATTAATGATGTCAATACTAATGATAATAGGGAGTGCTGTTTGCATGCCTTTGATGGCAGGAAACACTACCTTCATCTTTGGCACATATGAAGGCTAGAAATTTCTTCATATTGAGTCAGAATCTGCCTCCTACCACCTTCTGTGTATTGGTGTCCATATGAAGTTAAGACCTGGCAATCCTCTTACCTCATACCTATGTTATCAAATGTCACTAAGAAGGAAAGGGACTGTAGCAGGCCTGCCCCGTCGCCTCGAGAGGACAGCAATATACTCAGAGTATCAATTCTCCCCCATTTATTGAGGGCTTGTGGTGGGTCAGCAGTTGGCTATATACTTTATGTATAACATGCCGTTTATATCTCACAATGATCCTCCAGGGAGAAACTAACATATTTTCTGTTTTACATTTAAGGATAGTGCAACTCAGAAAGGTCAATGACAGTCATCTGCACTGACTTTGTGTCAGTCACTCTTGCAAGCATTTCATGTGCAGCAGCTCAGTTAGCACTCATATAACTCTATGGGATGGGAGTGTTTGTATCGCCATTTTACAGATGTGGAAACTGAGGCACAGGGAGATTAAGTAATTTGCCCAAAGTCACGATGCTGGTAAATATGTAGTGAAAACTCGTACCTGGTTCCTGTTTGACTCCAAAACCAGTATGCTAGTCTTCTCTTTTTGAGCCTCAGGGATTCTTGTCACATGTGTATTCCCAAGTGTCACTTTATTCCAAGCCCGTGACCCTCTATGTTCTTGCTCTTGAAGACTGGCCATTGGCAGCTTATTTGTCATTAAGCTGTCTTCACCAGGGTGTGTAATCCCGTCTCTGAACACAACTGGATGCTGGGTTTGTCCCAGAGAGTATCACAGATGCTAGATAAGTAAAACCTGCCTATGGCAGAGGGTTTTTGTTTTTTGTTTTTTGTTTTTTGTTTTTTGTTTTTTCCTACCTAAGGAGCTAAGATGTAACCGTGACCCTTGCCAAATGCTGTACTTACTACCTCAGATTTATGTCACGCTTCTCCACTGAGGCATTTAAAGGACAAAATAAGAATGGGATGGGATGAACCACAATCCTTTAACTTGTCCTAGGTGCTCTGTCTCTGTGTAGGGATGGAGCCTGAGTTATGCATTTCTTCTACTCTCTTCCTTAGATAATATTCTCAGAGGAGTACCAGCGTGTGGAAGACCTGGCCTGGCACCGAAAGCACTTTGTCTGTGAGGGCTGCGAGCAGCTGCTGAGTGGCCGGGCATACATCATCACCAAGGGTCAGCTCCTGTGCCCCACCTGCAGCAAGTCCAAACGCTCCTGAAGGGCTGCCCACTCACAGCCACAATCCACAGGATCCCACCAGGAAGGAGAGCCAGGTGTGCTAAGGCCATCCTGAGGGTCTGACGCGACAGCCAGCAGGCAACATAAACAGTGATTTTTTTTTTCCAGTGGGAATATATACATATATATATATTCTAGGTTGGGTGGTGGTAGATCCTTGAGGGACAGTAGTTGCAAAACCAGAAATGTTCTAAGAAGTCTTAGGGTGGAGTTATTCTTGCTTTTGTTGTTGTTTCCCAGCTACAACCAACGAAGGACACAAATGGCATCCTTCAAGGGGCTCTAGAAGGAATTTTCCAGAATGCAATTCCGAGTGATCGAATCACATAGCAGTAGAATGTGCATGCTTTTGCGTGGACAGGGGAGCTCCTCCAGGAGCAGGCTGGGTCCCAGCTTTCACTTGTGGCCTCTTTTTCAAATGGAATTTGAATTTCAAATAAACAACTTTTTTGGCATGATAAACATATCAATAAAAGTTTTGTGAGTTCCACATACACCCTTCTCTAATTATTTACACAATGACAGCGACTTTGCCATTCATTTAGCCCCATGAGCCTGAATGCTGCTGACAACAGAAAATACTGTAAATGCTAATGAGCCTCTTCACTGATGTGTCTCATCAGACTTCCACTGGAAGTATAGGTCCTTGGGGCAGAATCCCCCCATCCCTCCTCCCTGTTCCAGAGACTCCCAGGCCACTGATGGAAACATGTGTGTCTCATTTTGTGGTAAACCAAAATGTGGCCCCCTGGGAACTGATGAGCTACTCTTTAGCCAGGGGCCCACCCCAGCTGTCCTCAGAGCCCAGGCAGGTAATGAACAAACTCTCTGGGCGTAAGACCAGGTGGAGTGCTGAGGAGTGGCCCCTACGCTCAACCAATGAGTGCCACATGGGACATAGTGACCATTTTGGGCAGATCTTTAAAACTAGGGGATTTTTATGAGAAATCTCTCCGTTTTTAAATGTTGTCCACTGAACACTGAATGAACCAAATAGAATAGATCTTTGGGCCAGATTTGATCTCCCTTTTATGGCTCTAATCATTTTCAGCCCTCAAATTAATTTCCTTCCCACAATTTCAAAGTAAAAACGTATCTTCTACTGGGGATGTGAGGATGAAAAGACACAGGTTCTAGGAGCTCACACTCCATCACTGATGGTCTTCCTTCTTAAACTTCCCTTCTATTCCCAAGTTTCTTTAATTTTGCCATCCACATTTTGTTCTCACCATTTCTTATCCACAATACCCCCTTTCATCTGCTTTCAAGTTTGACCAAAGCTATCACATTGTCCTCCTACAGCGGTGGTTTTCTGCTTCCAGCTCCTCTCCCCAGCCACCCTCAGTGTCCCTGTCATGTCCATCTTCTCGAAGATGAGCTTCGAGCATGTCATCTCCCTCACCCAACCCCCATGGCACCCCACTGCATGTCAAGTTAAGAACCAAGTCTTCACCCTGACATTTCAATCCTTCCAAAACTTGGCTTAATCGTCTTTCTGGCTTTAGAACACTTTATTTCCCTAGATTTCTATTTCCCTATTTCTCCTAGACATGCAGAAGCTCCCTTCGATCAAGCCCTTTCCTGAGCTTTTGCTCGTTATGGGCTGGTTACCTGAGGGCCAGCTCTGTTGAAATTCTATCTGTCCTTTAAGGTGCTTCTCAAGGAGAACCTGCCTCTCAGGCCCTTCCCTGAAGTACCAGTGAAAAATTGACTTATTCATTCATTCATTCATTCATTCTGCAACTTCACTGAGTACTACAGAGTTCCAATTCCCCTGCTGAACACAGGGGATACAGTGTGCCCAAAAAGAACAGTGACATCAGCCAGCATCGATTTTACAGTCAGCAGGGGAGGTGGGCCTCAGACAAGTGCTTCCACGAGTCAGTGCAAAATTACAACTCCTGTGGGTGCTATAAAGGGGAGGTTCATGTTACTGTAAAGAAGATAAAAGAGCTAGGACCTAGTCAGGAATGTCAAGAGAGGTGCCCTGAGAAAATGACAATTGAACTGAGATCTAAAGGATGATCTGTGAGTCAGCAAAGAAGAAAAGGACAGTGGTTAAAGATGGATACACAAATGGCATGTGCAAAGGCCCTGTGCTAGAACCACACCAGTTTATTCAAGACCTGCTTACTGGTGTTGGAGATGCAGTGGTGAACATGGCCATGGATGGGACTGAAGGAAGACAGGTGTGGCAGGAGCACAGAGAGTGAGGAGGAGGTGGGCCCTGAGGCATGAGAGGTGGGCAGGGCCAACCTGCTCCAGCTCTGTCAGCAACAGAAGAGACTGGCCTCTGTGCTAGGAGCAATGGGGAGCTTCGAACAGATCGGGGCAGGGGTTGGTGATGGCTGGACATGGAGATTATTGGATACATATCTCTCCTCTGTGGAAACCCCAGCATGATGATGCCTGATTGCCTTTGTCCCCTGGGCCACACCGTCCTGAGTAGGAGTGATTTCCCACAACAGACTCCACCAGACACCACCCAGAGCCTGCTTCTGCCCCTTTGTGCCTGTTAATGATACCCATCCTTGCATTTGGAGCACCCAAATCCTCTCTGGCACTCACTTCCCATCCGATGGGTCCCTCAGTCCAGTCCTTTCTCTCCATTCTCTCTTTGCCTTCGTCCCCAGTCATAACCCATCTTGAACTTTTCCAGCCCAGACTAACAACAGTCTCCTAGTGAGTCTCCCTGCCACGAATTCACCCTCTCCACACATTGCTTCCAGATGAATTGCTCAGAAACACAGGCCTCATGATGTACTCCCCTCTTCAAGGACAATCAGGGGCTCTCTTTGCACACACAGAAGTAATTCAAAACTTCTTTGCTTTGCAATCAAATTTCTTAATTTTCCTGGCCCCAACCCACATTCCTTCTCCCTTTTCAGAAGTCAAGTGAACAGCTTGCAGGTCCCACTCTGCCGCACACTTTTCCCTACCTCCATGCTGTCGCTCAGGCTGTGGGAATTCCCCACACTGTGCTTAAGTGCTGTCTCTTTCAAGGGGCCCTACTAGCTGAGTAGGATTCTGTACCAGAATTAGAAAGGCACACGCTTTAAAATGTTAACTCTTGATTTTACCCCCAATGTCAGCAGGAAGAGCAGCTGCCACCCCCTCACTCCCATGCTTCAGAAAGACTGGCCTCACCTGCCCCTGGGGGTGTTTTAGGTGCCCTTTATCTATACGCTCATAATATCCCAGACTTACAGTGGTTCTTGCACTGCTTCTATTGTGCTATGAGTATTTGTTCATGAAAGGCTCCCCCTATGAACTCCTTAAGAATAGTCTTACTGTGCTGGCCAGTTAGATCACTTGGGAGAGTATGGTGCTGATAACACCAAGGTCAGGGATTCAAATCCCCATACTGGCCAGCCACCAAATAATAATAATAATAATAATAATAATCTTATCTTTGTTTCCCAAACCCTTAGTACAAGGCCTGGCAACTGAACAAAAAAGCAAATAATCTAGGGTTCTTGGATGGTTCACTTTTGCTAATGGCACTGTGTCCCAAAATGGCCAGAGTCAAATATAAAAATCTCCGACTGAGGCAGACACTGTCGGCTGCCTACAGTTGCCCTCCTCCACTCCCATTTTCCTCTTCCTGTGGGAAGAGTTCACTTCCCAGTATATAAACTCACTTTCCCAGCATCTTCTGCAGTTAGACAAAGAGCATGTGACTCTATTCTGCCCAACGGGACTTCTCCATTGGGGAGCTTCTTAGACAGTTTTCTTCCTTAATGGAAAGATGCTCTGGAGGAAATAGCTCTGATTTTGTTTTCTCTCTCTTTTGATAGAATTTCAAATTTTAAAAAAAGTTAAGGAAGAGAAAAAAGTACCATTTGAGGATCTTGCTAACACATTGCCCCATCACCCCTTGTATTAGTCCATTCCTGTTGCTTATAACGAAATACTTGAAACTGGGTGATTTATAAAGAAAAACAACACTTATTGCTTATAGTTTCTGAGGATGGGAAGTTCAAAGTCCATCTGGTGGTGGTGACAGTGACCCCGGGGTCTCAGATTGCAAAATAGTGGAAGCAGAGAAAACAGAGAGAGCAGAGACAGACTCTCCTCTTCTTTTAAAGCCCTCAGAACCACACCCCTGACCACCATTTTTAATCCATTCACTACTGCACAGTCCTACAATCCAATCATCTCTTCAAGGCTCCACTTTTCAATTACCACAAAAGGATTTCCCACCCTCCTAACAGTCACAGTGGTGGCTAAGTTTCTAAAACATAAAACTTGTGAAACAATTCAAGCTCCAGTGAGTTTGGGGGGGACATAATTCAGTCCACTACATTCCACCCTTGGCCCCCCAAAACTCATGTCCTTTTCACATAAAAATACATTCATTTCATACCCAAAGTCTTAACTTGTTTCAACTCAAAAAGCCCAAAGTTCAAAGTCCCATCTGTGAAATTCAAAACAGGTTAGCTACTTCCAAGATATAATGGTGGGACAAACATAGGTTACATATTCCCATTCCAAAAGGGAGAAATAGGCTGAAAGAAAGGGGTAATAGGTCCCAAACAAGTCTGTAACTCAGCAAGACAGGTACTCAGCTGTAAATTTTACAGCTGATGAATCATGTACTTTGACTCCATGTTCAAAGTCCTTTGCATGCTGGTCTAAGGGTTGGGTCACCAAGTCCTTGGGCAGCTCTGCTTCTATGGCTTTTCTGGTCTTGGGCCATGCTTCAGCTCTCCCAGGCTGGCGTTACACACTGGTAGCTCCATAACTCCGGGGTCTCCATGGCAGTCCTGCTCTCAAGGCTCAACTACACATGGTACTGATGGGGTTTCTCTGCTGCAACTCTAACCCCACATTGCTGCTCAGCATTGCCCCAGCAAAGGCTATCTGCAGTGACTCCACCCCTGAGACAGATTTCTTCATGGGCCACCAGGCTTTTCCATATATCCTTTGAAATGGGGGTGGAAGCTCCCAAGCCTCCACAGCTCTGGCATTCTGTGAGCCTGAAGACCTAACACCAGGTGGATGCTGCCAAGGCTTCCGGCTCGTATTTTCCAAAGCTGAGGGTCCAGTCACACGTGGGGCCAATTTAGTCTCAGCTGAAGCAGCCAAAGCAACTGGGGTGCTGGTGCTGGGAGCAGTTTCCCAAGGTGGCCCTGGGCAGGGAGCCCATGGAGGGTGCCTCAGGCCTGTTCCCCAAGACCATTCTGTCTCCCTCGGCCTTTGGGCCTGAAATGGAAGTGTTGGCCGCAGAGGCTTCCACAATGCCTTCAGAGCCGTTTTCCCCTTCTCTTGATAATTCTGTTCTTTTGTATTAATCTTCTTAGCACCACTGCATTTTTCTCCTGAAAATGGTCTCTGCTTCTCTATCACATGGCCAGGCTGCAAGTTTTCCAAATCCTTACCCTCTGCTCATATTTCCATAAGCATTCTGGTCACCACCACTTAACAAATAGTCTCTAAAATATTACAGACTTTCTCTGGTTTTCTTATCTTCTAAACTCCCACCAGCAGCTAC